TGACTTGAGAGTCTAATACTCCTTGTATGCCTTATGAATGCCATTTAGGAGTAAATTTTTCGAAGGATCGACATCTTGCTTACACTTGTGGTCCACATCATCCTGATTTTGTGATTGTTTTGAGATTCATTCTAGGATTCTACACTGGCCCAAGCGCACACTAGCATTCATTTGTGGGGTATATGCTTTGTTGATTATTGAATTGGTTATATCCCAATTGGGCTAGTAATGCATTGAAAGCTTTCGTTCTTGATAAATGTGGATAACAACCTCTTTTCACTAAGTAGCCGGGATTCTAGCCTCATCAAGCACTAAACTTCTCGCGCCGAAAGGTAGAGGGCCCAAACTCTAGGTTAATAATTGAACTTACTTACAAAAAAAAAAATAAATAAATAAAAAAAATAAATAAAAAATAAAAAATGAGGACTTCTCCCAAAAGGTAAGAAGTGAGAAATGATTAGATGGTTGTTGTCTTGAATTGTAACCTAGTTGATTTGAGCTTGTAAGTCCGTAGGGGTGTCTTAACACCTAGTGCCCTAAAGCCGTCTGGTTTAGGAGTCATTGACTTAACGCCCGATCTCATGAATCACTAGAAAGCTTAAGAGATCAACACATTGCACTATGCTTCCATCTTTGATCCTCAATAAAAAAAATATAAAAAAAAAATCGAGTGAAAAGAATAAGCGCACCTAGATGAATAAAGTTTTAATAAAAGGTCCACTTTTTGTCTTGATGATTGGTACTAGATTTGTGTGCTATTTTGAGGGTAATGATGTGATTAATTCTTTAATTGGCTAAGATATCAACACATTGATGCCGGTCCACTCAAAAGGATTCTAGAGTTATTTTGATTTGCATGATCATTTTCTTGATGTGTGGAGGACCATACTTGCTTGCTTGATGTTAAAATTTTGGGAGATTGCTTAGAAATGTTTGAAACATTGCATACTTGAGGTAGTTTTCTCCCAATGCTTGTTTGCAATATTGGTGCCTCTTTTGAAAGAATGAGCCTAATATTTGTGGGTACCATTTCTAGAAACCCTCACGAGACTTTACTTGTCCAATAGGGGTAACCTAGGGGTTTAAAAGGCTTGTTGCATATGCTAAATGCAATCGTGTTCTCTACGAAAGTGGCGTTATCCATTTATTGTTTTCTAGTTTATAGTTGTATAGTTGTTCATTTCATTCCTTTACTTTCTAGTTCATTGCTAGGTACTAGCAATATTTAAGTTTGGGGGTGTGATGAGCACTGAAAAGTGCGTATTTAAACCCTTTAAGCTTAGGCATTCTAGTACCTTTATCTATCTTACTTTGCCGTTTTAGATTGATTTCGTATTATTTCCATTTTCAGGCACTTATCCCGAAAATAAGCTAACTCAGCCAAATAAGAGCTTAATTGAAGCAATTCTGAGATAAAACCAAGAAAGGAGCAAAGTGGAGGAAGAAAGAAGCAAAATGAAGCAAAGCAGCAAGTTTGATCGATCCAAGTCCAAGGTTCGATCAATCGAACATTGATCGATCTAAGCACTTCAAGATAGATCCAAGCCTTGACCCAAAAGCACTTAAGTCCAAAAGTTCGATCGATCCAACATCATTCTTCGCTCGATCGAACACCTTTGTCCTTATCCAAATGATTGATCTCATCCATAGCTATCCACCCACTAACCACCTTTGTTCTTTTCCCAAAAATATCTCCCAAAATATCTCGGATTTGTCTTTTCCCAAAAAGCTCAGCCAGTTGGATCGATCCAGCCTCAGTTTGATCGACTCAGCCAGTTCGATCTATCCAAGTCCAAGGTTTGATCGATCGAACTTCCTCCAAGTGCAAAAAGTTAAAATTCCAGCTCATTGAAAGTTGTCCTTTATCCAATCATTGGAGACTATTGTGTGCACGACCCTAGCTCATTTGGGGAGTGATTTTAACCTACCTATATAAGGATAAGGATTACTTTTTAGATAGAAGACATATAGGAGATAGAGACCAATACTTGAATTGAGAGATATACTATCTCTAAGGAAGCTTGGAGGAGGAGGCTAGAGACACCATTGGAGATCTTCATCAACAAGGAGCAAACCTCTTCCATGGAGTTAGCCCTTGAGGGTTGGAGCATCATCACCATGAGTGGCTAGACATCCTCTTGGGGCTAGAGTTAGCCCCAAGCATGCTTTCTATATCTTAATCTTGTGTATTATTGAGGGATTAATGTTGTAATTAATGTTTTGACACTTTGATATATATAGATCTTGTTTAATCAATGATTTGTGTGGTTTAATGCTTTCAATTGATCATTTCATTCTATTCATATGTCTATGTATGCTAGAATTGATGTTCATGTTCTTGTCTCTAGATTTTGTGTTCTTGATGCATGTCTATGTGTTTGATGCCATGGATTTAGAGATTATCAAAATATAGTGATTAAAGGAATGCTATTGTGATTCTCTTAATGGTTCATACTTATTCCTTGATGGATTGTGCCTCTTCCCTAATTTTCTTTCATGCTAGTAGTTTAGATGTAGTGTAGATATAGTGTAGTGTTAAATGGGAGGACAATTCATACTTGTTGTTTGATGTTCCAAGCTTTTGAATACAAGTAGCATATGTCTCTAATCTTGTGTTGTATTTGGATTGCGAGCCTAATGAAAGGATTAATGACTTGTTTTGATGTATTGTGCCTTTCACATGTTGTTTAGACAATACATGCTTAACTAGTCATCCTTGTTTGTTGAATCAACCAAACACACACACACCAATATTGCAACACCCTAATTGCCCTCATTAATCACTTGTCAATAATATAGAAATGCATTGCTTGATGGTGATCTCTAAACCCCAAGACTCTTCTCTCTCTTACTTACTCTCCATTGCATTCAATTACTTAGTTTAATTTCGTTGCTCTCTAATCTAATCAACCGACCAACCAAATGTTTGATCACTCGACCTACTAGCCCAAATTGCGATTCCATGACATTTCTCAATCCCCACAATCCCTTGGGACGATCCCTACTCACTTTTGCTAGTTTAGTAGTAGTGTTGGTAGTGGTTTTTATAAATTTAAACTTGACCCAAAAGGCTTTTCTTGAACCGCACATTCACTACATCAATTTTGGTGTATATCAAGCGGCCTCGTCAGAGCCTTCTTCCGAAGCAGATATGTGTCATTTGGTCGCCTCTGTTAAACCCAACTTTCCTGCACTAAAGAAAACTTTATCCTTTTCCGATGCTGACAAACAGAGCCCAGGTGCCCAAAATCGACCATTGTATGTGCTGGCTTCTATCAAGTTAGTAGAATTCAAGCGCGCTTTTCTTGACAATGATTCTTCCATCAATGTCATGCCCCTCTTCACCTTTCGTAAGGCTGGCATCTCCGAGGATCGTCTAGTCAAAGAGCCAATCGAAGTCGCAGGATTTGGCAATGATCTTCGTCGCACGATGGGCTATGTTAATGTTGATATAGCTGTTAACAAATTCCAAGCCTCCACGAAGTTCTATGATATTGACAGCGACACTTCTTATCACATCCTTCTGGGACGTGCATGGATGCACCGCTTTGGCATTGTCTCTTCTACTTATCGTTAATGTTTCAAAGGCATCTGGAATAACAAGGTTGTCACTGTCCCCTGTTCCGATCGCCCTTTTGCCACCTTTGAGGCTCATTACACGGATGCGTTATTCTTCAATGACCTTGATGACTGCGCGTAAGACTGTGATGCAACCATTATCAGTACTCCTCTACCCACCTGGGCTGACGCCCAAAAGGGCATTTTTCACCCTCCCTCTCCCGTTCAGACAGGCGATACCCCACGTGAATGCAAACGTGTTCGCCTCCCCAACGGTCGCGTCATCTTTATGATAGTGCCCGGGGTCAGCAGAGGTTCACTATACTGACCCCCCAGCATATCAGCCTTGATTTCTCAATAAAGCACCACTGCCAGATCTCGTTAAAGTTAATCTTGCCCATCCTAATGAGCTGCCTCGCATCACGTTCCTCTCGGGTACACTCAGCTCTCAAGATAAATCTCACCTTGTGTCTCTCTTGCAGGAATTTCGCGATGTATTTGCATGGACATACAGCGAAATAGCAGGGCTTTACCATTCGCTGGTCTCCCATCATCTCAATGTTTTGCCCAACATTTGCCCAGTTAAACAAGGCTCGCGAGCATTCCGGCCAGAACTTGAGTTGCAAATTAAAGATGAGGTCCAAAAGTTGTTAGCAGCTGGCTTCATCAAGCCTATCATCCACCCCACGTGGTTAGCCAACATCATTCCTGTGCAGAAGAAGAATGGCCAACTCAGGGTGTGCGTTGATTTCAGGGATCTCAACAAGTCTTGCCCAAAAGATGACTTCCCTTTGCCTATTATTGATACTCTGGTCGATGGCACTGCAGGCCATGAAATGTTCTCTTTCATGGATGGTTTTAGTGGTTACAATTAGATCCAGATGGCTGAGGATGATGCAGAAAAGACAGCCTTTCGAACGCCACTTGGTAATTTCCACTTCACTGTCATGCCTTTCGGTTTGAAAAATGCAGGTGCCACATATCAACGAGCCATGACTGCTATTTTCGATAATCTACTCCACCACAATCTCGAAGATTATGTGGACGATTTGGTGGTCAAGTCTAAACAGAAAGCCAATCACCTCCATGACTTACCCCAAGTGTTCGAGCGTTGCCGCCAATATAATCTCAAAATGAATCCCCTCAAATGTGCCTTTGGTGTCAACCATGGCAAGTTCTTGGGTTTTATGGTCACTCGCCAGGGTATTGAGGTCGATCCAGCAAAAGCCAAAGCAATTCTTAACATGCCATCTCCAACGACTTCTAAGCAGCTGAAGAGCTTTCTGGGCAAAGTTTCTTATCTTCATTGATTCCTGCCAGCCCTCGCGGAGGCCACACACGTTTTTAGTACCCTTGTTAAGGGAAAAGCGAAGTTCTTATGGACAGATATTCATTAGGCCGCCTTCGAGCGGATCAAGCACGTGCTATTGTCCCCGCAGATCATGCATGCTCCACAAAGAGACCAACCCCTCTTCCTGTATGTTATTTCTACACCTCGATCCATTGGGGCACTGCTCGCACAGGAGATTGATAATCAAGAACGCCCGATTTATTACATTAGTCGTTTGATCCATGACGCTGAAAAACGGTATTCCCTTATTGAAAAGCATTGTCTCGCCTTGGTCTTTGCTGCGCACAAATTCCGGCACTACTTCCTCGCCCATCGCATCATTCTCATCACTAAATGTGATCCCTACAGGAATCTTCTTTCTAAACCTATGCTTACAGGCAAGGCCACACGATGGCTTCTATCCTTAGCAGAATTTGACATCACCTACCAACAACTGAAGGCCATTAAAAGTCAGGCTCTCGCGGATTTACTCGCTCAATTCCCCAACGCAGCTCATGAGTCGGTGGATGAACAGTTATCTCTTGATGACCTGCAGGTCGCCTCTCTCGAGCAAGCTCAAGAATGGCATTTGTCTTTTGACGGTTCTTCCACCACAAAAGGCGAAGGCGCGGGCATTGTGCTCTTCTGCCTGACCCTCACCTCCACCGCTGTTGTCAAACTTGACTTCAAGTGCATTAACAACGAAGCTGAATATGAAGCACTCATCCTGGGGCTATTAACAGCACTCGATAAGCAAGTCTCTCGGTTGTGCATCGATGGCGATTCAAAGTTGATTGTCAAACAGACTTCAGGTGAGTTTGCAATTCGAGAGCCCTTTTTGGCCTCGTATCGCATAATAATTCAAAAGCTTCTCTCTCGATTCACCACCGTTCATTTGGCTCATATCTCTCGATCTGTCAATCGATATTCCGATGCTCTTGCTACGCTTGCCTCCAAACTTGACATCTCTGGCCCCGCACAACAAATTACTGTTCATAAACAAACACAGCCTGCCATCGCCAGTTTGCTCCCTCTTGAAGATATCACTGATTGGCGTCGCCCAATTATCGATTAAATGCAGACCTTTACTGGTTCATTACCCCTTACTCAACTCAAATGCTTTCATTTGATCCAAGGAGTCCTTTATTATCGATCCCCCTCTGGCATCCTCAGTCGCTGTCTCGGGGACGCCGAGGCTCGTGAAGTCCTTCACCGTGTTCATCAGCAACATTGCGCCACTACTGATATCACTTTTTATCGGTGACTTCAGTGCCAAGGTTACTACTGGCCTCAAATGTCCAGTCAGGCTGCCGCGTTGCAGCGCGCATGTGTTGCTTGCCAGAAATGCCCTGATGCAACTAAGGTCCTCGAGCTCGAGTTAGCTGATTGGTAGGGCTGCAAATGAGCCGAGCCGAGCCGAGCTTTAGGCTGTTCGGGGTCGGCTCGTTTGTTTATCGGATCAGCTCGGGCTCGGGCTCGGCTCGTGACGAGCACAAAACTTTGAGCTCGGGCTCGGGCTCGTCTTGATTTTAAAAGCTCGGGCTCGGCTCGTTTAACAAAAAAAAAAAAAAAATTCAAAATTAATTAGTATTCTACAGGCCACAATACCTTTTTCCATTACTTTATCAATTATCACATAAGCAAAAAGAAAAAGGGCAGAAAAAAAAGGTGCAGTAGTGCAAGCTTTTATGTTTCAAGAACAAATTAAGAGTTAATTTTGAAAAAAGAAAAAAGGACAAAATTGAGCATGAGTGCATTACGCATTTTCTATGAAAATACAACACATCAAAAAGTTATAAATTCCCATGATAATAATATCTATAGAACCACTGAAACATTGTATATATTAAGTAGAAAAAGAAATCACAGAGGAAAATAAGTAAGAGATAAATTAGTTTAGCAACCTATGGCCATTGAGCATTAGTCTCCATAAATTTAGAAGAAGCAGAAGAAAGGCTAAACAAAATTGTCTGCAACTGCTTAAAGAATGTTTTGAGGTTGTCCAGATCCATGGAATTAAAGTGAAAATAAAGTTTTGCCAAAAAATTAATTGATGCAGTACCTAATTGATGGCGAGGACAGAGGATGGCCCACGATGATGACGAGGATGGAGGGACAGCGGCACAGACGAAGGAAGGAAACGGATGACGTCCATGGCAAAGACAGAGGACCGCGGCCGACGATGACGATGACATACGATGCGTTCAGATCTGAGAGAGAGAGTTATGGCGATTGAGTTGATTAGAGAGAGACAGAGAGGTAGTTGTGTAGATGGAAGGGTTGTCGTCGCCGGTGGAGTTGATTCGTAACTCGTGAGTGAATAATAGAGAGAGAGAGACTGACGATGTTGTGGAGAAGAGGCAGATCTGAATGGTGGGGTGTAGTTTTAGGGTTTTTTGATATCTTACAAAATCAGTGGATGAGATGGGTTCTAATTTAATGGGTGAGATGAAATCTTATTTGGGCTATGAATCTATGGTGGATTTTCTTTGGGCTAGTGAGTTATAATGCTTGGGCCATATTAATGAAAAATATGATCTGGGCCAAACTTAAAAATAATATGGACTAAACATTTTAAATGTACAATAAAAACAAATGGGCCTGATATATATAACGAGCCTGATACGAGCTTTGTTCACGAGCCTATGTGAGACGAGCCCATGTTCACGAGCCTATGCGAGCCCAGCCCAACGTTGCTCAGGCTCGGCTCGTTTAGGAAACGAGCCAAGAAATTGGGCTCGAGCTCGGCTCGTTTGCTTAATGAACGAGTCTGAGCCGAGCCCTTAACGAGCCGAGCCTGAGCTGTTCATGAACAGCTCGGTTCATTTACAGCCCTACTGATTGGTAGACCCTCTTCATTCGTTAACTCCAACATGGTCATTGCCCAGACAATCCAACCTTGGCCGCCAAGCTCAAGCACCAAGCGTCACGCTTCCAAGTTTGCGATGGTCGTTTGTTCCGCCTCTCTCACGAAGGGCACCTCCTGCGATGCCTTGTTAGTGCTGAGATCCGTGAAACACTTCATCAAGCTCACTCCCTCGAGCATGTGATACCCTTCGGATCCGAGACACGGGTTGATCAGGCCCAGGCCCAAACCCGAGGGAATATCAAACAATTAAAGTATTTTAAAACGAACACAGATGACAAAAAAGAACAATAAAGATAGAATAAAACTGAAAGAAATAATAATAATAAAATCCTCAATGTGTAACTGAAAATTGAAACTCCAATCTTCCAAAACTTTAAAGTTACAACTTGGGAATCCACTGATGGACCCCTAACTAAAAATTCAACAGAGACTGAAACTAAAAATAGATAATACTAGAAACATCGGGGGAAGTCCTACGTAATCCAATGAAAGTGAGACTGTCCTCGACAAGCACGATCAAGCTCTAAGGCTGGAACCGTCCTGTACCTGAAAAGAATAATAAAAGAGTGGGTCAGACCCACGAGTAAGTTCTAATCTAACTGCAATCCATATAGTGACCCGATACGTAGATAACCCGTAGACACCTCACAATATCTATCTAGTCCATACGTATAAATATATCCACACTAAGGGACATTCACTAGTCTATAATAGGGGTCTCAACCTGAATAGAAGGCAACATGCGAATACGCACCCAAAGGTGGGCATGAGTACCTAGACCTAACAGGGTACACCTCAACCTATTATAACCATCTACGCATCCACCGCATATACGCACCCTAACCAACGAGTCTGAGACTCAAGCTCAACTCGTGGTACCATAAACATATATATAAAGTCCATCCAAATCCAGGGTATGCAGTTCAACTATCTACTAAACTGACATACAATAAACTAACTAGTTAGTCATTCAACTTATTCAGTTGATATGACTTAACTACCATCCGTTAATCCAGGAAGTCATCCAACTTGGTTACAGCTGATCTGACTTAGTCACAATTAGGATTCGGTATCTTCTAATCCATTCCATTAATCCATTAGGTTAGGTTTATGCGTTTTGCGCTAAACCGTCCATAGTATGTCACCGTCCCATACCGGTACATACAATCCTCCATATCCATATAAATTACAACATATATAACAGTTCAATAATTTACAGACCCAAAAACCACCAACCAAATAATTGCAGAAAAATATTTAAAGCTTCAGCAATTTAAATCCAAGCATTTAACCATATAGTTGCAGGAGACGATTCAACAAATCAACAACTAACATCCAGAGCATGCATAGACCAAATTTAATATGTCAGGGACTCCATCATGCATGTGAATAGGTTAAATAACACTATTATTATCCAATAAATTGCTAAAACAATTTCAGAAGATTGTTTAATATTTCGGCAATTTAAATCCAAGCATTAACCATATAGTTGCAGGAAACGATTTAATAATTCAGCAACTAGCCTCATAAACATGCATAGATCAAAATTAATAATTAAATGACCTTATCATGCACTTGAATGCATTCTAAAATAAGTTTTATAAACACATTATATTCCATCAAATTGCTGAAATTTAATTCAACAATTAATTCATCTTCCATTTGTTAACAACATAAGGAGTGTCTTAATTTTTTACACTGTTTGTCCCCACAATTTAGAATTTAACCCTAATCAATTTAAGGTCCTAATAACCCCCAAACTCAGCCTTCTAAACTCTCTGTGGAACCCCAGACCCAACAGGTTTAAATCCCATGCTCCAATAGTAAGCACAGTACGTAGAAAATTAAAAAAAAATTAAAATAAATCAGAAAATAAAAGGGAGCCTGCTCCAGAATTTGGAGCAGGCTCTTTTTTTCAGCCTAGAGGCGGCTCTAGGACTCCCTAGAGCCGGCTCTACTTGTTGTGGGAGCCGGCTCCCACATCTATGGAGCCGGCTCTCACCTCCTTTGAGAGCCTCTGTCCCCGTTGCTTCGTTTCAGTCCGTCCGCTCCTTCTCTGATCAATTCCTGCCACTCTGTTGGTTTCTAAAAACTAATCTTAGGAACCTTAATTTAGACTAAAAGCATTCCCCAAGATTGTTTACAATAATTTTGAAAACAATTACAGAGTTTAATCAAGCCATTTAAACTAGCATTGTTGAAGAACAACACAGAAACTAAATTGCGACATCAGTTTTATCCCAACCCCTCTGTTCTTCCTCCAATTTAAATTTGAAGTCTTAAATTACATCTAGTATCCAATCAGACCTTGGTTGATTTTAGTAAGATTCAAAATAAAATTAGAACAGTGGGACGTTATGCCAAAACAGAGTCAAGAAAAACATACGTGCTACAATTGTTTTGTAAATAAATTTTTCACAGATAAAACGATCAAGTAAAACATATATAAAACATGCATGGTTCAGTTTAAGGCCAATTAATCTCCTAGAGACTATCTAGGTGCACAGAACACAAGCCAAAGGGAAGGAGGAAGATAAGAACTTGCCTGTACAGTTTTATAACCAAAACCTTGTCGCCGTTGTTCTAAACTTTCTAGCTTCCTCTGGTTCTGATCTAATCCACCAAAATCCTCCCTTGGTCCTCTCTGTTCTTCTCCTTGATAGACCGTTACGATGCTCTGTTCTCTCAACTTCTTTCTTTACAGAACCAAGACTTGTTTTTTTCTCCAAACCCTTAACCAACGAAATCACTATATTTATAGACGTACAACCCTAAACCCTAATCCTTGTTTAATTAGAGCCAAAGCCCTAACATAAACCTTAGTCGGCCCATATACAAAACCTACGTCTAATACGTGAATATACAGAAAAACACCATCCTAATTTAAACCAATTTAATTAAATAAAACCAATTATCAATTAAGTCAAATAAAACATCATAAAAACAAGTTAATTTAAAATAATTTAATAAAAGAAAACAAAACAATATAAACCAAAATCAAATTTAAATAACCATGGAAGAAACACACAATTAAAATAACCAATTAATAGAATAACACACAATTAAACAATTAAATAAAAGATTAAACAATTAAATAAATGCCAGGACTATCCTTTTAAAATTAGGGGTATTACATTCTTCCCCCCTAACAAAAGGAATTCCGTCCTCGGAATTCGTTCTTACCTTCTTCCAATATTTCAGGAAAC